AGTTTTTAAGGATCAAGGGAGAAGAAATTTACAGGAAGTATATTCATCAAAATATCGATCTAATGTTAACTAGACAACAAAGGATTTTCTAAGCTGGTTCCTTGAGACTGAATAAGCGTGTACTTGCAGATCCTGTATCAAGTCGGTCAATATTCATTCTTTTAATAAAGAAATATCTTTCATCTTCTTCTTCAATCTAATTACAGTGCTGTTTATGTGTTGGCCTCTCAGCGTTTTCAGTTAAAATCACTTTGATATTCCCCTCGAGTTTTCCGAAATTCTATCACTGTGTAGTCAGGTAGGTAAGTACATAGTTTTTGGGCTTTCAACTAACAGACTCGTACAGAAACCGATTTAATAATGATGGTTAGCCTTTAAAGTCTGCTTTATAAAATGGAAGCAGGATAACAGCGAAGTGTCTTCTGATTTATGCCCCAGGTTGGCAACGAATAGACACTATGTTCTTAGATCCGTTTTTAAGCTCATTTGGTGAAGGGTTTCAAGCATACATTAAATTGTGAACAGGAAGACATCTTCGTGATATAATGGCATAATTTTCAGCTAACCCAATACTAACACACACCTAAGTTGACGGATTAACAAAATAATTATAGAAAGGTATTGATCTCTTCCTATTTTTCCATAAAGTGCAGAATAAGAAGCAAGAAACAGCGCAAATTAATTTTTTTTTTAATGGCACCAATTTAATGAGATGTCTTCCATTTGTACATTTTGGACATTTCTGACTGGGAAAACTACACTATTGAATTTATGCATCTTATAAGAATGAAACTCTTTCCTATGCTTATTAAACAACAAACACTTCATGAAAATGTGTATTTAAATAATCAGTAAATTTCTATAATTATATCTTCTATGTTGTACTATCTGATCTGCAAAAGCCTACTTTGAAACATTTACCCCACTTCAGATTCGAAAATATTTAAGTATCAAGCTTGTGTTTCGACTTCAGTCGTGAATTGGCAGAAGTTAGAATTCAAGGACCATTGGATCGGATCCCAGTGACTCAACGGTCTACGAGCTCGCCTTGTAACCAAAAGGTCCTGCGGTCCGACCCCGGTGGTTGCGTACTGATGAAGGGTCCGAATCTAGGACGAAAAAGCTGTCCAGTACTCCCAGTTTTTCCAGTGGTTCTCCAACTCATGTAAGCTCATGGTCAAATCCTCCATGCAGTCCTCCAATACTCTAATAGTGGATCAAATGAGATGGTCCCGATTTCCAGTGTAACTGGCATTATTATGTGTCGTTGCTATACGCTCATTTCGAGTTATCTACCTAGTCAAGTCATATTCACTACAGATTTCTTCCGGAGATAAAACGCAAAAAAATAATGGTTCGAATTATTTCAAAACTTTTCCCCATAAAACGGACATCATAAAAATGTCCACCTTTACTAAGTATAAGTAAGCCTACACAAAATATCACAGTATCAGGAGTATTACAAAATTCTCATTAGTGTTTGCCTAGTTACTTAAAAAGAACCCAGCTGATCTTGGTTTTTCTCCTATCAAACAGTATCTGTTAAAATTCTGATGTTAACTAACACGTACAAAAAGTGACTGATCCAAATCGGAAGTAGAACAGGTAAATATGAGATGAGAAAAACTTAACCACTTTAGAAGTTGAAAGCACAAAACATTAATTCAATAGTGATATTTAAGAGATATGAATAACCAATTTTTGTTAAAAGCCAGTTCACTTGGAAAGTGATGGGGCAAACAATACTATTCTGTACATGCGAAATCTAACTATTCTTTTTTGTTACACTTTGAGGTCGAGTGTTAACAGAACCTATCCCCATATGGCGTTACACATAGAAAATACAAACAGTAATAATAATGGTGTTTGCCAAAAATACTTCCCAAAAAGTAGTTAATGGTCTAATCATTTTAAGCAGAAGTAAGAAAATTGATCACGGACTGATATTGATTAGGCAACGATTGAAATCCCGGGGCCAACGAGACAACTGTCTCTAACTTGCCTGCCTCATCAGCAGTACGTACTCATGGCTCCATTATGAGTCTGGTTGAAAAAGAGAATTTTTCCGCATACCTAATTTCTGATTTGGAAATGATTGTCGTTCGGCTATTTAAAGCATGAGTTCGGCGTTATTCTCAAATTTCATCTAATACAAATTTCGAGTTTGTGTAGGGGTTTATTTGATTTCAGTATAGGTCTTATGAGGAATCGGTAGAAGGTAAAGAAACATTGAAAACTATGGAGCACTTGTTGACCTTTCTGTCCTAATTTGGGCCTGTTCAACAATCAGATACATCGGTGGCATAGCGGTTAGGACGCTCGCCGACCATGCACACGGTCCGGAGTTCGATCCTCGACCAACGGATTCCTTTACCTCGCTAAGCCAGAAGTAATGCTGGTAAAGAGGAAAAGTTGGGAATGAGGGTAGCAACCCCATCCTGTAAAATAAACACTGCTACAGAAACTTCAAGCCAATAGCTTGAGGCCCTATGTTCTACTGGGGAACGTGAAAGAAAAAATGCAACAATCAGATCCAATGAAACCCAAGGGTTGAAGACGGCACCGATTATCCAAGCAGGTTGGAATTCAATGGCCTAAAAATGCTAACTTCTTTTAAAATAATCTGATATGTTTTTTCAATTATCATTTCCTTTCTAAGTCCTTAGTTCATTAGGATCTGGTAAATTGGGTCTTTTCAAGAAAAACATATGTATACACGGAAAGTTTTCCAAATTATGGTTTGTTATCCAGCCTATTAGATTATATGCTGAAAAATGAAATATTTCGTGAAGTTTAGAAAAAGTAAAAGAAAAACTGAGCATGTTAGTTAGCTAGAAAAAGCAAGTTATCAGATTTCCGATGATAATAGTTAATCCATAGTTTTTGCCGAACGGAAATAACAGATGAGTAGTTTTTGTGTGTGCACCGAAATTTGTCAGTATGGCGAGTCCTAATGAGAAGAAAATATTCTGAACCACAAATCAACAGAACTACAGATAAACATCACCATCCAAGCAATTAAGGATACATATCTCTTCGATACTGGCGTTCTTCTACTGAGAATTTGTGTACACTGTAGGTTAATGATGTAATTTCCCCCAGGACGTTGAAGAGGTTGGTATGCATATCACTTGAAATCCATCAGCAAACTTGAAATTGTTGTTGAGTATTTGAGGATAATGAATTAACATCCTTCGTGAGTTAGTCATTCATACTGAATTGTCCGCTAAGTTTGAGTATTAACCTTTAAATTTACTTATGACAATTATCAACACATTAGATTTCACACTTGTCAATAAGTAGTTCTAGTTTGTTTACTTGATGTAAAATGAAGAATAAGAGTTAGAGAATGGAAACTGGAGACTTAATTTTCTCTAGAAAACTTGATTGGAAATGCTAAATTTTCTGTCTATGCATTCCTTCTACGATGGAGACCCCCTGAATCCCCTTTATTTCTGCTATTTGACATATTATTCATGAGCTAAGTAATCCACAATTTGAAACCCGTCGAATCACACTGACTTTCTGGTAAACGTCTTTAACTTTCACAATGTCTAGACTACAGTGTGAAACTTCAGATGATTATTAAGGTTCATAGTTGGGGAAAGATAAAGAATATTGAACGACAAGCTAATAAATGTTTGCCTGTATGGGATTTCATTCGAGTTTAGAATGCTTACCAAGGCATAAGTACAGGGCTTCACCATCTCAGTGTGACAATGTTGTCGATTAATGCATATGAATTCTACCTATATGACAATGAATGTCAATATATATGTGCATTCTGTAGTTATTTTGGTACATTTGAGAAGTGAAAATGCTATTGGAGTTTAACTGATATCGATAAATATATATAAGGATAGCTTTTAACCTTCCGGTGGCAATAATCATTGTCGTGATAATTTATGAAACTCATAAAGTGTCTGCAATGTTAATTTTGGTTAATTTATGTATACACTTGTGTGTGTGTGTTTGTGTACGCATATGTAGGTATATGTACGTCTGCATCTGTTCTCTGCAGTCATTTCACTATGACAAACCAGACAAATATATTTAAGGTAGAATGAAAGGTGATTTAGGCAATAAAGATAAACTGTCATTTGTTAATATTATCCAAAATCTAACATATATAATTTTTAGTATAGTATATCTGATTAATAATGCAACTGATATTATCGGGCTGAATAACTAACCAAACGAACTACAGATTTTCAGAGATGATCTTTTCAGATGTTAACCTCATCAGTACTGACTGCTACATCGCAAACTGCTTACAAATAATCAATCACCGTTAGGTTTTTCTTACTGAGAAGTCAAGGTTTTTTGCACAGGAATGATTTTATAGGATGGCCTAATGTACATAAACACTTAATTCACTGTGAGCATTTATACATAGATTGTGTTTTTGTATTGTAATATATATATATATATATATATATATATATATATATATAGGTGTTGAAAAAGACAGGTACATACGTGTTGATGTCTGTTCTATTAACGTGTAGAAACATGACACTTAGACACCTGTAAAATCTAGGCCACAGAAATATCGTGCATAAAATGACCTTATTTTATGCACACCAAGGGCCTATATATCAAACTAGACAGCTTTTGAATATTGTCTTTTGTCATGTAAACCAGTAGTTCTACAAAGTGATAGCAGGCATATCCAAACCAAAGCAATTGAGTGGAACTGCCGATTATTCATTATCAACACTATTTTATCTTGTGTTTATGTCGCTAATGTGAATGATATCTAGTCACACGCAGTAAATAAGCCATCTGTCGATTGAAAACTGTCAAGTTTGAGCAGTAGTTAAGTCAACACTTTCGCTGAGACTACAATTACACTGCATTAATGAGTAGTTCATTTAGTTTGCCCGAAGTGTACTCGTGGTATCAGCTAGGAAAGATTTCTAGATATGCAATATGACTAACAAAATTAATGAAAAGGAATCTGGAAACCCTGGATCACAATTCACATAGTTATAACTTACATGCCCATTTTCACCATCATCTGCGTCGACCGCTGTAAGACGACCAGTGACTTGAGTGAAACGTGGTTGATTTTCCAAGATCGAGAAAGGACCTTTCGCAATAAACTGAGGTTGATTGTCGTTGGCATCCAAAACTGTGACCAAAACAGTAGCAGAAGCTGTGAACGCGGGATGAGCAGAACTACCAGATGCGTCCGTCTGTTGTAACTGTGTCTCGCTTTGTTCTTTACTGTTCAATGAATGATGACGTGAATTAATAAGACCACAACCACTTGTAAGCAAACCGTCGGTAACACATACTGAGAAGGTGATTTTCTCTGTCTTCTCACGGTCAAGTAAACTAGAACTGTGAACAACGTGATTTCCATTTTGTTCTTCACCACCCAATGTTGTTATCACACCAGTGCTGGGATCAATACTGAAGTACTGTTTCCCTTCGCTGCTCAATTCGTACGTCAGTTTAGCCGCCTGATCTCGGTCATGTGCGATAACCTTGAGGACAAGACAAAAAATGATGACTGAAAAGTGGAAAAAAGAGACATGTTTTGTTTCACTTTTACACTAATACGCAAAAATATTCACATCACTTAATTTTCAGTTTAAATATTGAACTAAAGTAGTTCATTTGGATTCATCATTCTACAGTTCATACCCTTTTATGCAAATAAATAAGAAAACGATTAAATTTTCCTGTTTTTGTAGTGCCCCACTGGCAATACTAAGTTCTAATTCTTGTTATACGGTAACTTAAGAGGCCTAAGTATATGAATTTCCAACTTTGCACCATACATGTTAACTTTACGTTGTCTTCACTGTAGTGGAAGGAAACAAGTCTTCAGATGTTGACCAATGTAAGTTCCACTAATTATGCAATTACAAAAGACGGTATCGAGCATATCGGTAAGCTCCTCAAATACACTGGATTAGTAATACAAAATCTCCAGCTCATTAATTATCTTACATATCTGGGTAGCTTAGCGATACGCTGGATACGGTCAGCCTAAATTAATCGTTCTGCTTTCCCTTATTCTTTTACTGAACAGCTTTCAAACAGGAATTCTGTGAATTTCATTGATGAAAAAGTAAAACAGATGGCATGAATAATAAATTCTGTTTGCAATGTTATCCAAAAGATGATACTGTTTCGCTGACCGTCGTATCCGAAGACAAACCAATCAATATAAAAAGAAAACAGACATTTTTGCATATCTGAGTATCGAAATAAAAATACTGTTACCATCGATGAAAAATGGACAATATGCCGGTAGTAGTTGTGCGGTAGCGGAATGTGAAAAAAGTATAAATTTTTAAAAGTTTATGTAATGACAGCCAGTGTTTATATGGATGAGTATACGACTTTACGATCGGAAGCAAATGCACACACACATAAAGTCTGCAAATACGGAATTCACCTGGTCAGTGATTCAAAATGAGACAGAAGAAAACCAATTGCAAGACATATATTGATTAGTGATCATGCACAAACCAAAAGATGACAGACTACATTTAAATATTTCCCCTTGTTAAAGATTACTAGAAAACGTGAAGTAGAGGGGAGATGTGTGTCGTTTGTTCCAACTTTTTTATGTGTTTGTGTCAGTGTGCATATGTCTGGTGACTTGAAGTTGTCAGTATGTCGTCGTCAACACGGTATATAAATTCTCATGAGGAGTGGACAGTGCATGACTTCACTCCTGAGTGTCTGAGACAAACAAAATGATGAGAAGCGGATTCACATTATTAATAATGTTTACACCTTCGACACGGGAGCGACACCAGAAACAAGAAACAATATTACATTATAGGACAAACAAAGATTAAACCAGCCATTTGAAAATGAAACTACACGAGCTAAACATTTAATATCCCATTCAGTCAATTTTATTCAAATGTGTCAAATAATATAAAGTATAATTAACATTTAAGGTTTTTGTACTAAAGTTACAAACCAAGCCTACTCTGTGAAAGTTAAGAATATTAATTGGTTATCGCAGTGTTGTTTATTGGAGTGGTAGTTTAATTTGTAGTCCTCCATTTCAAGTCCCGTTCAGGCTTTATTGAAAGTGATTGCATGGAGGATTTCATCATGAGCTGACATTAGTTAGAGAACCACTGGAAAAACTGGGAATACTGGACAGCTTTTTCGTCCTAGTTTGGGAATTCTTCATCAGTACGCACCTACCGGGATTCGAACCCAGGACCCCCAGGTTACAAGGCGAGCTCGTAGACCATTGAGCCACTGGGACCCGATCCAGTGGTCCTTGAATTCTAACTTCTGCCAATTCACAGCATAGCGCGACCACTTCGCAATGTCTTCTTCTATGAGTTACTGCCTCATCTTCAACCTGCTTTACCCTACTGGTCACGACTTCCCACTAGAACCCCAGGTTAACAGCCTGAATAGGGCCAGTCACTAATGAGCATCAGATTAATTTTCAAGGATTGGTTTGGTAGGGATTTTTTGTTTGATTGCATGGAGGAAAGTGAACGACTATAAAATAAATCATCTGATATTTTTTGATTGTTTTTGACTAACAGAAACTAAAGTTGTGCTTCAATTGCGCTCATAGTCGCTATGGTATGTTGTTAAAGCATTCGAGAATAAATCATCATCAGCATGGTTGACAGTAAAAACCATGTTCCTAAGTCACTCCAATATAGGATTATAAGTGAGCTGGGATTTTGACGCATTTGTTTTCCTGTATTCAAATAGCCCAACAGCATGTTCTCTTTTAATGCATGTTGTGAAATTCAAACATCTAAGGTAAATGGTCGAGTCGGTGGTTTGTAGTTTGATAACGATAATGGTTGAAATCCGCAATGATTGGTCTTTACATGAACTTTATACACTCAGTACTCAATGTAATGTAAAATCCAACTGCTCAAAAAAAGGATTTTAAAATAAATATATACTCCTTATTCAGTCCTAGTCGATTTACTTATGTATGCTAAGAAATGAATAGATGAGTAACGGTCATTTATAGCATATCTGAATGTAGTGTTTCGTTTGAATGGAACAACGCTAAAACCCAAATGGTTCCGATAGAATGGATAAACCAGTGTTGAATGACTTGAATAACTGCTTGCAGCCTGAAAGTTGCTATGTTATAATACGGTCAAGCAATTTCTTAAAACAATCGATATTACTCATTTAGAGAAGATGAAATAAAAGTATGAAAACGTGAAAATGCCAATAGACTCGATGATTAAAACAAACAAACAAACAAACAATAACATTTCAACACTAAATTATGGACACTGTGCATTCATTTTATCAAGATAATTACAAATATAATGATAATTATCATTAACAGTCGTCATTGTTATCCAACCTAATGAATTATTGAATTAAATTTCATTCAACTGCTTTTGCATTACCTAAAAAATAGTTAATGACTTTGTGAAAGAAAGAAAGATGGATGGATAGATAGATAAAAAGGAAGGAAGAAAGAAAGAAAGAAAGAGGGAATGGAAAAGAGGAAAAAGACGAAAGTAAAGACGAAGTAAACAACGACGAAAATGCGAACAATCAAATATCGTAATAATAACAATAGTGGTAATAACACGATAAACTAATGCATACATATACTACTTTCTATGCCATTTAATCAGTCAATAGTAAGTAGATTGATTGAATCCACTAAACTTTATCCCCACATTTAGTTACCGATTAACTGAATGAATAACTGGCTGTACACGCACTCACTGAATGTCAAGAAATTCAGCTCAACAAAAGGATAAACAAGTAATTAATTCACGGTGATTTGTTTATTTTTCCCCTTGGAATATATATTCTTCCAATAGGTGTGGTTCGGAGAAGTAGCGTGTCAAGAAAATCACTTAGAACAGGCTTCAGACTTTTATCAACGGGTACCGCCGTTCCATTCTGAAGATCGGATAGCCAGAAAGGATTAGAGACAGGGAACTCAGGGAACAAACCAACCAAGAACCCACAGCCCAAAAACTAAACCACAGAAAATGGAACGGGTACAAGATGAGAAGACCAATGGGTGACGTGCTGCATCAGACCCTCCGGTAGAACGGGATTGGAAGATGACGAATTCGGCTACTGAGGGTGACGTGGGGGAGATATTGTGAGGACGAGATGAAAGCTGATGGGAAATCGTGCAGACAGCCAAAAAGGACTATGGAGAACAAGATGGAATCAAGATGTACTGTCGAAGCCCTATTTTCCACTTGGAACCCAAGGGGACATTAATGATAATAAACAGATATATCGTCAGTAAAATTTAATTGGAAGCATCGGAGACTCTTGATTTGGATTTCCCATTCAAGGGATTTATTTAGAGGACTTCTACACGTTTTACAAGATTTCATCATAAAGTAATAGTAACGAAAACGCATATATGTGTTAAGTCAGGAAAAATCGAGAAGAAGAAGAAATGATTTTAGGGTTAATAAAAAAGATAATAGACACAGTGCCATGAAACTTCATGTTAATCAATCTCAGACATCTGAGCTACTCAGTACAAACCCTCAATTCTCTGAGAGGAAACCAAAGATTGGTGTATGCATCACAAAGTACTGTAGATTTCCCTCTTCCAAACTAAAAATTACCCTTAGAATAATTTTCTGATGCATCTGAAGTATTTAGATTACTGTCATGAAATGAACGTGCAGATCAGTTGTTTGAAGGTTTTCCTGGCATTGTATAAACAATCTTCAGTGACAATTTAGTACTCAACAAACATTGGCAAAGCATGTTATAATGGTATTTAACACCACACGAGTAAATGAGTCGATTAATGTTTAATATGGTACTTTTTAATATCTGACAGACTACTTAAAAGGTTAGCACAGTAGATTGGGTGCTTTCGAACTGGCGATATCGATTAAATGAGGAGAATAGCAATAGAAAAGAGCACTAGATGACAGTTAGCAAAACTTCAGATTCCTTTTGAGTGATAACAATTAGTCTTAAAGTGATCTTACAATTATGAGCGATTTGACAACAACTGTGTAGTGTTTTAATGATCCTGGGCTATTAAAGTGCAGGACTGTGCAGGCTACAATACATGTGTCAGTTGATCGGTCGGGAAGATAGTAATAGAATTGTAACATTTAGAGAGATAAGGTCAAGGTCATAATCCTTGAAAATAATACTTCTACAGTTTACTCTCCATGACATCAACCTTGGACTGAAATTGATGATATAAATCTAAATAAAGGTCTAGTTGACCTGAGGATGCATTAAGTTACCTTTTAACAAGTACACGTCTGGACGGATTAAATGCGATTTTGTATCCTTCCTTGTGTTGTTAAAAGGCCCAGATTCCGAGTCCATGGTTCCGCCATACTAACCAGATAAGTTCTAACATCTTTTCCCTAAATAACCTTGTCTTTGTATTCTATTTAATCATACTTAACATCACAACACATCCATAAAAGGCAAGAGAGTGGAATAGTAACCGGCTGGGTTATTAAGCTGACTACGTTTTGTAAGGCTGATATGGTATAGCTAATCAATAGCA